ATAGAGGTAACAAATAAATTGTTACCGGAAAAAGCAAGAATAACTATACTAAGTCATATGTATGGTATAGTGACACATTTTTGGTACAGATTTACGCAAAGTTAATTTGAAAATTTATCCTGCGTTCTTGCCTGGAAATACTTTGCTGCAGACGCATCAGCGGTGGAGCGCTCGATGATGATGTCTTAAAAAGCCGTTGTAGAAAATGATAACTTCACTCATATGGTTAGATAATTAACTAGACATAAGCCTTCATTGTCAGGTTGGTTAGTGTGTTTAACTTTAGATAACTCGATAAAAGCATTCTTTTAATTTATTTCTGTGAAAGATATGAAAAAATAGTAGATAAGAAGCCATTTGAGCACAGTAGAGAGTGAAGTTAGCTACGCATTCTTCTTTTTTGCACACATATTTTTCCCCAGATCTGGGGAAAAATATAATAAAATGAGTAGATATTGTAACACCTCATTACAGGGGTTGTGTATTAGTGCACCGTATGAACCAAACTAAAAAACCGTAGATCTAACTGGGTCATCAAAACTGTCGAAGCGTCATTCCTACATAACTGATAAAAAATTTGCGTTTGTTAATTAATAAAAAATGTCCTCTGTATTTTTCACCTACTTTTTGATTTACCTCGTATATACAATGATTAATCATCTGTGAACATATTTATAGCAAAAAAGAAAATAATAACATAGGCAGTTATCGGGACTATTTTCTATACCCCATGATAAGGATTGAAACCATGCTTTAAACGAAGAATTTTAAATAATGTATTATTATATAAGTAGGTTATGGGCCACTTGGGAGCCCTCCCACCACTTTGATTTTTACCACAGCGTTTTTCGACGTTTTACTTAAAGTATGTTTGATTGATGACATACTTTAGATAAAACGTTGAAAAAGTTTTAAAAAATATTGTGGTAAAGAGCGGAGTAGCGGGGGACTCCCAAGTAGCCCATTTCCCACTTAGGACTATTGCTGTTTTTTTTATTTTAAACACATTTTACTTATCATAATATAACCCCTACAGTTAATCTTTCCGTTATTGATTTTATACTTTTTTAATAACTATAACCAGTAGACTTTTTGAGATATATAAAAAATAGGAGAACATAATTTTATATGTAATGTATTATAAATTTTATGAAGAACTTGTAGATAATTTTTATATGAAACACTTGCATAAAGATATTGTTTTTGCGTATACATTGTAAGTCCTAGGGTTTTTATAATTTTACATACAGCTCATAAATCGATTAGCCCACTACTACAGTTCCCGAATTTAGTGTGTTTTTCTTTATTTTGTAAAATCAATGAAAAATAGATTTTATGTTCTGCTCTATTTTATCTCTTCGTCACTTTCGTCAATCTAATGACGGGTTTGCAATCCCCCTAGTACCCAATGGGTCGACATTTACAATTAAAGATTTGTAGTAAATAGAGAGTGGCGGTCTCTATTGAAACATAGACAGTTGCTCATGAACATTTTTTTTTCTTTTAAAGTAAAGATGATACTTACTTACGTATTTCTTTTTTGTGAACTTTTAACTAAATAGTACCCACAACATAAATAGCGTAAGATTATCTGATTGCCTAACTATGATAATTATGATAAATAAAATGTATTTATATTAAAAAAATTAAAAAATGATTGCTATTGTCGAAATTAAACCTGGATTTTTAAATTTAAATTTAGACAACAAGAAAAATATTTCAAACTCAAATGTGATCAAGACGTAAAATATAAAACTACAATATAAAATAAAAACTAAAGACAATATCACGAAAATTATGAGCGACCGTCTTCCTTCAGAAAACAACTACTAAATTTAAACGCCAAACGACCTAAGCCATAAAGGCTGATGTCAAGTTAATGATCTAAACAAATATCTGACATTAGTATTTTCTACAACGGCTTTTTTAAGGTGCTCCACCACTGCAGGGACTACAGCAAAGTATTTTCATGTTCTACAAGGTAAGAATGAGAAAAACATTTGCAATTTTGCTTTGCGGAAATAAGACATCTAGTCACACCTAGTCACTGGCTCCCCTACCAAAAAGGTGGGGCGCTGTTTGATGGGACCAAAGATTGTTTTAAACTTATTAGCCTCAATCCAAAAATTAGAGTATGAAAATAATTTGTTTATATTTGATGTTAAACTCGTTTTGTGTTGCAATTATTTGTAGTTTTTTGTTATTTGTTTTACTTGTCACTTGGTAATACAACTTTTATTTGCAATAAGAGAAAGTGCTATAACAGTGATTTTGTTTTGTGTTTAGGCAGTAAACAAAATATTGTGTACGTCTATGTCACGACTCCGGAGATTCCTTATCTAGCGCGAAAGTAATAAACAATCGTGGCTAATTTCAGTAACTAATGGTGGAAACACAATTCCGGCAGTAAGTCGTGTTTAAGCCTTAATTTCATCAGTTCAATTTTCCTAGACTACGTATAAGTAAATAAAACATACGGCAGTGAAACCCCGAAGGCATTCAATAAATAATTAATAATGTGAAATTATTAAACAATCCCAGGCCCTCAATGAAGTTAAATAACACGTCAGAAGGCCTTCATTAGGTTCGACCCGACTAAATTAATTGCTTACAGATATTATTCAGATGTGGCTTATAAGTGCCAATTATACAGTCGCAGCGATCGTTTCAGATGGTACCACTCTACAGTTCCACGTTAATCTTCTCCTGGCCAACTAGGCAGAAGGCTTGTCATTGAAATAAATTCTAGATGGGTACTACTACGGTACGCAATCATTGGATGCTTATACAGAAATCGTGCTAAATAAAATTATACGGTTTTGTTTAGTACCGCTCTTTATTTATGGTCGAAAATATCGCTACTGGAATCAATTTATGTTTTAAAGTGTCTTATAATTTATATTTAAACGTTTCATTTCTTGTGGACTATTATTTATTGAAGAGTTCAATAAATAATAAATATCATTCTTAAGGAAGTGTGGTTTATTTGACCCATTTTTTGATTACTATTTTTTGTAAATTTTTACCGTACATAATTTAAAAAATTATCTGTTTCTGGATTGTAAACATATATTCCAGTCAAAAGCGATCCGAAAAAACTGCACTTTTGAGCCAACAATATGGCGACCCGAATGGCATATAACATCACCTCATTATTAATGTAATTTTTGAAGTTTAACAAACTTTGAATGGCTCTAATCTAAATAAAGACAAGATGCAATGTTAAAGTGCTTTTTTGTATGTAATAATTAGTAATTTACACTGTCATATAGCATACAAGAATACAAATAAAATTTTTCGAATAAATGAGAAAATTAAAGTAAATTGTTAACGATTATTATGTAATTTCCAATAAAATTACCTTTTTAAAAATGTGCCACACTTAGTACTTTTCCTATCTAAATTCTAGGGGTTGTTCACCCCTATGCTCGAGGGTTGTCCACCCCTATGCTCGAGGGTTGAAGTGTCAGTGATACAATTATAAAAAAATGTGTTTTCCTCTAAACAAAATCGACGTGTCCAAGCATGTCTTCTTTAAATCTGAGGGAAGAAAAGAGGGGTGGATATTTTTCATTGGACCACACTGTATGTATTGTACTAAAAAACACGAAATTTTGTATGTTTTTAAAATATACATATTAACTATAGAAATTAGTTTTGTTTCAAAACAAGTTTTTCTCAACATTTTTCTTAATTTTTTAAAATAAAGTTACTTTATTCTGAACAAAATTAATATTTTTTTGAAATTCCTCGTACATGATATTTATGATATTTTGTTGAGTTCTACGAACTTAGATGAAAGACTTGAAAAATTTTCTGAGTAACTTAATGAAAATTATTTGACAGATAATTCTAAATTTCCACCACATATGGGCCTCTGCTGCATTAAATAAAACAACAAATGCTTGCGAATCTTTTCATTCCCATTTTAATGCATCCATGTACCAAACGCATCCTTCAATATTTATTTTTGTAGACGCACTTCTTAAAATACAAACTAAAATATATAATTAAATGCAATAGTGTTAACGAAATTCACAAATTTAAAAATATAGCCACTAAGAAACGTCATAATTTTGTTAATTCTAAAATTATTGAATATAAAAATAATAAGTTGTCCAAACTACAATATGTTAAAATAAAATCGCACTATTATTATATTTGCAAATAATTAATTTGTTATATGTTCTTTTTATGTATCTTTATCTACTATATATATTTTAAATTAATAAATTTTGTTTCAAATATTACATCAGTCTATTTCTTGCAAGTAGAGGGAGGTATTATTATTCATGTGCCGAGTTTAAACATTTTAAAAGGGAATCTTCTAATCTCTGTGCCGAGCTTGACTATTTTTATTTCTTATACCTGAGACGTGTGCCGAGTTTGTATCCCCCGGTGGCTATATGCGTCTATTATTACATAGGAAAGGTTCACATTAGTGGTATCAGTATTTACTCACATAGCTGCAATTTTTTCTATTAGGTTTAAGTCAAAATTATAATTTTAAAAAGTTAATAATTGATTATACAATGGTTAACTTTTTATTAATAATTTAAAAAAATAGTTATTTTACATAGAAAGTTCTACATGACGTAGAACCAAAAATACAATCATCGGATATTAACATTTTAAGTCGTATACAAGGTTTGTCAAAAACAGAGGTACTTTACTTTTGAGCAAAATCATATTTCTTGACAAACCTCGTATGCGACTAATAAAATTTGATATCAGATGGTTGAATTTTAGGTATTAGATCATGCACAACTTTTTACGAAGAATACATTTTTTTCCTAAAATTAATATTGAAACAAATTTCTGTATAATTCCAACTTAAATAAACACAGTGTATAAATTTATCTTAATATAAAATGTACATCATCATACAATTTATAAATGTTATATTTAGTTTTCTTTTTGCTGCAATGAAAAACAATACTCTTATTAAACCACGTTTTTAATGATTCTCGTAAAACTAATAATTCCTTCTTTTGTTCCAGTTTATTGGCAAACGGAACCCATTATGCAGGAACTCATTCTCCGAGTGAGGCAAAGTCAGGATATCCTTATTTTGGTGCCATGGAAATGTGTACAAGTCGAGTACACTAGAATTATAACATATCGTGTTAAGTACGTTTTGTTAATGTGAATACTAATGTATCCTATGTAAATTTGTACGTATATTTTTAGTAATGATTCTTGAGTTACTATTGTACCAGTCTATTTTGTTATTCACTTAAATATAGAATCATCTAAATTGACAAATTTGATTTCATAAGCTAAATTGACATTTTGATTATTATAATTTATTTGTTCTTAAGGAACTAGATAGGAGCATATTGCTGGCTAAAAAATAGTCTTTAAAAGGTATTAAAAAATCTTGTTTATTATCCAGATTAACCAGGGAAAGGTATTATTTTATAAACATATACCTTTTATATAGAAGATTTAAAATAAGGTACCTACTTAATGAAATTTTAAACTAATATTCTTTTGTTTGAGATTGTGAATAACTCAGTAGCTGTACAGTTTAAATCTGTGATTTTCATTTACAATTATTTTGACTGGTTTAATTTAAATATGTATTGGTATATATTATTCGTTTATTTACTTATTTTTTAATTCAATAACTCAAGTACTTAATTAAGAATAAAAATATTCCCTACACACTTTAAAAGTTTATTATTATCGAATTGAGAAAACTGTATTCATGTGTACTAAATTATTTCTACACTTTATTGAACAATATTAAGACATTCGTTTTTAAATATTAAGATGTATAATCTGTTTTTTTTTAAATTAATGGTAACTATTTAGTTTTAAAATAGTAAATTGGTTCCGACAAACTGTAGAAAAACTATACCATACTTACTTAATTAAATTATTAATTACTAATAGGTCTATTAATTAAATGTAAGTGATCCATCAACTGTTTTGTAATAATTATACGTTTAAGCTTTAATTTATTTCATGTAAATATTTTTGTTTAATGTAAATAATTATGCTCATTATGTACTATTATATCGTAATAGACTTATTAAAAATAGTGTTTGTTTTTTAATATGCCTCGTTCTCATATATTTTATTTTTCCGATACTTTTTGTAAAAAAAACAAGTTAAGTACACTATGTTTTATTAGTAATAGTAGTATTTTTTCTAGCATTATACCATTGAAAGATAATATAAACTATCTGAAAGTTAAAAAGGAACAGTGCTAGCAGTGGCGTGCGGTGACATTTTTGGAAGGGGAAGCGATTGTATAAAAATACAACAGGCCAGTAAGCACAGCGCCGCAGACGAAAATTTTTCGCAGCGCATTCACCATTTGGTCAAAATCTTGCTTTTTTTCCTCAGTACTACGGATATTCGAGATTAAGATTTTGGAAGTGTTACTATTACTTTATTACCTAGTTTAGTACTAGAAGCTATAAAAAAACTTACCATTGAAAAGCTTCCTCGGTTTATTTAAACGTAAAAAAAACATTTAACTGAAGTTTTCTTTTTATTTTTTCCAGCATTTTTCACACAGTTGACACAGCAGTTGACATTTATTTATACTTAAGATCTATTCGCCTATCCTCAATGGCTGCAAATTTGTCTATAACATCGTCGTAAAATTTTGGATTTTCTGATAACTGTTTAACAAGCTGTTTTTCAATGGATATTAGGGATAAATTAGAGAGTCTGTCTTAACTTGTTGAATTTCGTATAAAACTTTTAATGCGCTTTGAAGATTAAAAACTTCGCTCAACTGACGCACTTGTGGCTGGGATGGTTAGTACTAATTCAGACAACTTGAATACTTCACAAAGGGACTTATTTAAACTAGTTGTTATAAGAAAATTTAACACATTGATGGGCGTCTTTTTATCACTAATTTCAGTTGTTTCATAAACAACACTTAATTGGGACTTTAATGCTGGAATATCGAAAAAAATTTAGTGAATTAAAAGCTTCCGATAGAAATTTGGATGAATTGTAGTTACTAATATTAAAATTGCACAATTCAACAAATTTTAATTCGTTAAAGTTTTGAAATCGAGAGTTCATTTGTTGTAAAATATTATCAAAAATGTCGGCGTATAATCGACGATATCGCCGACATTATGAATTCTAATTCTTTTTTTTTTTCAGGTTCTAAGCCAAAGTTTTGAGCCTTATTCCAAAAGTGTTTAAACTGATCTCTTTTTTTATTCATTTTATTTTTAAATCATCAATTTGTTTAATGCAAAAGCCAATGTCATTTGACTTTGTAAAATGTCGAATAAAATGTCAGTAAAAGGGAAAATCTCTGCAAAAATGTTGAGCAAAAAATTGAAATCAAAGTTTTGTTTGAGCCAATGCAAATATCCTTTAGCGGCAGTAACATTTCAGCATCCCATGTTTCTTTATTATCCCAAACGTCTTGAAAAAAGTATATCAAAGAATCACGGTATTGAAACACTGTTTGCACTAAACGTCCATTGTAGTTCCATCGCGTCGGAGCTACTTTTGGAAACCTTTTTTGAACGTTAATGTCCAAAGCGCGAGTTCTTTTCGATGACTTTGAGAAGAAGGAAGCCAAACCACTAAGCGTCGAAAAAAAAACTTTGCTATCTCTAGTATTATCCATGCTTCGCGATAAAACCAAATTAAGTCTATGTGCTATACAGTGAACGAAAATTGCATGTTTGAACTTCTCTTTCACTTTAGCTTGAAGGCCTCCTAAATGGCCAACCATTACGGCAGTATTATCGTAGCTCTGGGCAACAAGCTTAGAACCACATTCTAAACTTGAAATAATGTCACAAACAATTTTAAACAATATATCTGCAGTTCGTTCGCTAGTGACGTTCAAAAATCCTAAGAATCGCTCTTGAGGAATGCCATCCAATACATATCGCACAACAATGGATAATTGACTTAAGTTTGCTACATCTGTGTTTTCATCAAGCGCAATTGATACGAAAGGTGCTTTTTTAATTTCACTTTTAATGTGATCCATCACAACGTCGGCATTGCATTTAATTAAATCATTTTGGATTCTGTTTGAGGTACCTCGGAAAATCGTCAAATCAATAAAATGATTTTTTAGGTTATCATCGTATTTTGCTAAAAAAACTTAGAAAGTCCATGTAATTTCCTCGATTGGCGGATCCACTTCCTTCATTGTGACCCCTAAAACTTAGTTCATGCTCTCTCTCCCAGGAAACAAGTTACATCTATTAATCGTTGTAAGACGTCCCTATTTTTTTACCCTTTCATTGTGAATTTTGTTGCTTATTTTTAAATAATTGTCCAAACTATGTTCAAAGCGATAGGTCCCGAATTCTTTTTCTTTAATTGTAGCACTTATATGAGATTTGCTATTTACATGTCGTTTTAAACTTTTGTAAAAATTATTCAAGTCTGTAATACCGACTGAATTTCAATGTGTTTTTTCGGCTATATTAAAAGGTAGGCAAGGCCAGCAAAACAATTTCTTCAAAGTTTTGCAGCCGGTTAACCATTCATACTTTTCATAGAACTATACGTGAAAATGCCTGGTAAATTTATTTGCTGACTTTTCTACTTTCGTCTATAAATTGTTAGGATCCTTTAGTCTACTAGAATTAATAATGTCCGTTTTCTCTTCAAAATTTCTACTTGAAAATCCTTTTTTCAATAAAGAACACACAATTTACCATATTATTATTGCTCACATGCACAGTGCATAGTTCCTCCATTTTACAAAAAGAAAAACAACAATCGAAATCTATCTTAAGCATACGATTTTCGTCACACGTCGATTCGCGGTGAAAATTGCAATATGCGTAAGGCGACGTAAAAATCACTGCATCTCGACCGTATTTTACGTGCCCAAACAGACTGACTACTGTCACAGCAAAGCAGGGTCAATAACACGAAGCGAAATCAATTGGAAGATGAGCCAGCTTTTTCAAGACGCGCTTCCGCCGACGGACTCGAAGTATATGGTTTGCGTTTACACAATTAATTTTCTCATGAGTGGGGCGTGCGTTTACACATTACACCAATGAATTGTTAGTACATTTACGAAGTTTACGTAATGTTTCAGAGAAAATATAGTACCTAATTTAATATTAATTTCTATGCATTGTAAATTGAAAAGTGTAGGGAAGCGGTGCTTCCCCCACTTCCATGGACCACACGCCCCTGAGTGCTAGCTAGATCAAACCATTGGTTTTGATTTTTTTTTGTGTTGGAGTGAATAGAGCAGTTTTCCCGATATATTGCGACACTTCAAGCCATCGCTGTAATTCTTTTTCGAACCTTATGCCATGTTACCTACTCCGACGCATTTTGGGTGGAGTTGTCACAATATTTCCCGAAACTATTTTAGTGAATAACATACGCATGTGCAGAAGAGGAAATTATGTGATGTCGTCGACTCCAGTTACAGCTCGGTAGTGTGGTAATGACTGGTGACTCAACCTGTGACTGACAACGTTGATGTTGTGACATTCCTCTTACTGCATAATCGAGGAGCATTTACTCTTCGCTCCACCACAAGCAAGGCAGAACCGAAGGTTCGACCTTGTCAGCACTGTGTATGTTTTCTATTGTTGCCTTCATATCAATAATGTTGGGTGTTACGGTACGGTTTTAGTTAAATAAAAAGAACTGGAAAATCTGGAAGTCATTTACAATTTTAATTAACTGGTATAGATAAAACTTTAAAGGGCTCTAAAATATTTAAATCGTTAGACTTGTTTATAAAATTAAAAATGTCATTAGCCTTTAGAATGTTGAAATTAGATACCTAGTATCCAGTGTGTCTCATTTGAAGTTTAATCGTTGTAAATGGAAAACGTTTCAAAACAATTATAAAATAGTGTCACACTCAAACTAGAATAAAAGTAAAGTAAATTAAAGCGCGAAAATTTATAAAATAATTTATAAAATTAATAAATAAATATAAAATGGCGATTGATATAAAACTTACTTTAGGGCTAGCAACAGGGCTCTCCAGATAAACAGAGGGAACATATTTCAGGCAATGATTTTTGTACACGGTACCTATAATACAAAGGTATAAATTATACCAGATATTCTGAAGTCAAATGAGTAGGAAAATGTTAATAACTTTGATGGGGATGGGGGGTTGTGATCTCCTAGATTACAATCTTTTGTATTTTTTAGAAATAGGTTATTCTTGTGACATCATTAGTTTATTGCTTTTAAACTTTTTTAGCCTCTAGTACCTTTTACAAAAATAAATATTTTGCGAAATACGGCAACTTTTTAATATGTAGACACGCCTATACAGGGAGATGATAGAGGATTAAGTGTTGACTCGTTTATTTTAAACAGTAGAGAAACACGATTAGACATGTCGAGTCATCAACAAACAAATCTATCTATTCTTTTATACAATGACAGATGAAAGTCAATCCCCATTTTTTAAAATAGCAAAAATGGTCGCATGGCATTTCATTGGAAAGGTAATTGTAGGAAGAATTAATTTAGCAATATGACTTTTCATGGCGTTACTTTTGATTTTAGCGTCATCTATCTGTTACGTAT